TATATATATTAGAATAGCTGAAGAAATACCCCAGGAAGTCACACATTCCACTCCTGGAAAAACCAACAGTGCCTGTGCCTTGAGGGCGTCTAGACCTGCTTGTCCACACACTCCATTCTGCCCCCACAATCGCTGGGACAGGGCTTGAAGGCAGAAATGACAGCAGTGGACAGGTAAGCAGTCAACCTTAAAAAAGGATATTGCCTAAAAACAATTGTAATATTATACACAGGAACCAAACTCTGTACATAAAGTATGCAAACTAAAGGAAGCAGTTAAGAAAGTAAGAAATGAGAAACTGTAGTCGCAGGGAGGGGTTGGAGGAGAAATATCGAAAGCTATTACTGTAAGGACAAGCAATTATTTAAAAAGAATCAGTTGAGATCCTGAAATAAAAAGACAATTCAGTAAAAATTTATTTATTGGGACAAGTGAGAAAAAAGACACAGGCAGTTAGTGAATCTGAAAGATCAAGCTGAACACTCTCAAACTTGGCATAGAAAACCAAAAATTGATAAATATGAATAGAAAGAGGCAAGTACAGCTAAATCTAGAAATTTTAATATTTATGTGAATAAAGAGATCTAGACTAATACAGAACAAGAAATAAAGACAGAAATCGTAACAGTAGAGAAATTTTTCCATAATGGAGAAAATATATAAAGTATTCAGACTGAAAGATCTATGGACTACCAAACAGATAAATGACAAGAAAGCTTATTCATAGCTAGTGATAAAATTTCAAAAGAGTGAAGTTTATGAGGTAGGCCACTGGTCAGGTTGGTAGTATCATTTAGTAAGAAAACTAAGGAGTGTTTTTAGGGGAAAAAATCGTAAGTATGAACATGTCCAAATGATGACTGTGAGAAATTCCACTGGATAGAGCTGAGATAGAAAGGTGATTTATGGATTTGGATCCCCAAAGAAGATGAGGGCAAGAATATGAAGCAAGATCCCAAATTATGGTAAACGTTTAAAATAAAAATACCATTACAGTAAAAGAATTAAGATGTATTATCGGACCAGGCGTGGTGGCACACGCCTGTAATCCCAGCTCTGGGGAGGCTGAAAACAGAAGGATCAGGATGAGTCCATGTTGCCTAGTAAGACCCTGTACCAAATACATAAAATAGAAAAGATGTGTTCTGTACAGGTGCTAGCTCTCTGTAAGGAATGTAATCATTCTATACTAATAAAAATAAAAAATTGAAGAGAAAACAAAAAACACATGGCCATGAATTCCACTTGTTTTTAACACACTTAGCCCATCCTTCCTCCCACTTTCTGAAGAAATTCTGGGAGTTCTCTTTTAGGAGTGTGTTTTCACAGCTGCCCCAATATTCTGGATTGATTCAAAACATCTCCAGCAATTTCTGTGAAATGAGCACATTACGGTGTACCCTCATCCGCCTTACTCACCATCAGATAGACCCTTGGGCATTTACCTAGAGTCAAAGTGACCAGGAAAGGCAGACGTTTTGAATTGATTGAGGGCCTTGAAGCAGCCATGAGATGGCAACTAAAGACGCAAAGGAGGACTTGCCGAACTGCTTCACAAAGCCACAAAGCAGCAAAAGTGGTGAGATAAGGGTGTTCGAGGAAAACTCTTTCAAAGGGGTTAATGATAATGTGTCTTTTACTGTAATAATCCTTTTCAGTTTATACCTTGATTGTATGTTTTCTCACAACTTGGTAATAATTCTGGGAGTTGGTTGTGCATATATGGCAATCTATTGCAGGGATTATCTTAGATCTATGCTTTCTCCTTTAAAAGAAGAAAAAAATGCCTGTGAAGCAGAGGTGAAGGCCAGTGCTTAAGGAAGCTAAAATTTAAAAGGATGAGTGAAAATGGTGACACAAAGAAAGGAGATAAAGAAGGGCAAAGGATAACATCAGGAGAATGGGGTATTCGAGAAGCCAAGAGAAGAGGATAATTCAGAGGGGTTCACTGTACTGGGAGGCTGAGTGAAATGGAACTACACGTGTTCATTAGATTTGGTGAAAAGAAGGTCGTTGATGATTGTTTAAGGTCTTTTCAGCAGAGGTGGAGGTGAAACCAGACCAGAATAAAATGAAGAGGACCTCTGTGAAAGTGTGGGTGGTAAACATCACTACTTTAAGAGCTGACTAAAAACAAGAGGGGTGATGGTTAGGGTGGAGATGGGAGGGTGTTGTGGGACTGAGGAAGAGTGTTTGTCATAAATGGCTGAAGTACAGAAGCTTTACCTGTTAAGTGATAGCTTCTGGTAACAAGGCAGAAGCTGTCTAGGAAGAGGAAAGATAATCAGGACTCCTAGACAATGCAGTCTTTTAAAACAGGTTTCTGATAAACATCCGAATGATCTATCCAGCTCACAAAGTACTGTGCTGCTTAAGACACTGCTTGAATGCTACGATAATCAAATACATGAACAGTGCAAGTGAAAGCAGTTCCTGATCTAAATTTCTGAGCTAACCAACTGAAATATCTGACCTAATAGTGCTGGCTACCTGTGAGTATTCAAATTACTAATTCAGTTTCTCTGCTAAAATAGAGTGCTCAGGAGCCACTTAGGGCCACAGCTTGTGGCTACAGTAGAACAGTTTTGTTATCATAGAAAGTTCTGTGGATAGTGCTGGATCCACTGTAGGTTCTATTAGGGCAAAAGAAATTAAATTTTTAATTCCTTTTCTAGTATCTACCTAACATTTATTGAGTGATTATTATATACCAAGAAGTATTCTGTTATGTTTGTGGGGGGGGGGGTAAATCCAGATTTAATGCTTGCCATAACTCTCCTGCAAGAACAGTAACCCTACATGGTAACTTTTAACTTTTATGTCCATTTAACATGAGTAAAATAAGTTGTGGCTACTCAGTTTTTCACTGAAGTAAAATGAGCAGGGATTTCAATCCAGGCAACACAACCCATCACTTCTTTTCAGAAGAACTAAGCCAGCCAAAACTTAGTATTTGTTGTTAAAATTTACCTTTGCTGTTCTAGTGGAGTAGTTTATCCCAAAATGCATGGAATTATGCCCTCTGACATATAGGCTGATAAGGATCAAAACTTAGTTTCATGGTAAGTTGCCCCACTGTTGTGGAGGGAGAGATTTCTCTGCCCAGATGGTACAGAGGGAAGGGCCTTGTGCTAAGTCTACAGCAAAAAGCTCTAGCATAGATTTCTTTCTTTAGCTCTGCCTATTAATTCAATTCAATCAAAAATACCTGTAATTTTTCTTTATCTCATCCTTTTATTTTACTCACAGAACTCTTCCAAATTTTTCATTTCATTCTACAAAAACGTAACAGGGGAGATTTGCTAATCTCTTTCCTTCATGATACTTTCCTGCTCTGATCCTCACTGGACTATGTTTTTATGATCTAAAACTACCCATGAGTTAACATATTTTAAATCAATATACCATAAGAGACCCAGGCTCAACTATACACCGAATGGTTCATTGTCAAGGATTTTATAATCAAAATAATACTTTTTTTTTTCACTGTCAAAGTATTCTTCTTTACCTGCCCCAGATGGAACATTGTAAAGCCCAGACTAGCAGGATGAACCAGCTGTGGTTTCTGTGTTATGTCCTTGGGATCCTAAATAAAGTTGTCACATAAAATCGAGTATGCCAAGTTCAAGTTAAATTTCAGATAAACTGATATCATTTCATAGCATAAAAATGCCCCATGCATACTAAAAAATTATTTGTCTGAGATTCAGATGTAAGTGGGTACCCTATATTTTTATAATACATTTTTCTTTTTAAAACAAAACATAGATATTGGCAGCCTTGTCTTTAAAGAGTTAAGGGTACTTCATGGCCCAGAATTTATGCAGCTGCTTCTGGTACTAGGGCAGAAGGTATGGACAGAACAGTACGATGCCTGTTTTATCAATGGTAAAACCCCATCATTAACCCAGTTTTACTGACTCATAACCTCAGGTAAAAAACAAAACAAAACAGAATCATCCTACTTAAGGACACTTTCAAGACACAGTTGTAGAATCTTCTTTCAAGAAAGCAGCACTGTAAGGCAGGAATCTTACATAATAACAGTTGGCAAACACTAAGATATAAAAAAAAATATTCAAAGACATGAAGGTCAGCAGGCATGGTGGCATGCATTTTTAGGAGGCTGAGACAAGAAGCCCAGGTTAAGCAAGCAGTAAGACCCTACCTCAAAAAAAAAAAAAAGAAGTTTCCATAAAGTTACGATTTTCATGAACTGTTGATTATCTATGTCCTGTCACCTAGGCTATAAGAAGTTCCTGGGAACAGTGAGAATTTTTCACCTTTACCTAACATTTCTAACCAGACACAAAACTAAAGAAGCAGAAATTATAGGTCACCCAGTGCCATGGTCTAAGTGTACATATCAGGACAAAATTCATATGCTGAAATCTGAACTCCCACAGTCAGGGTATTAGGAGGTGGCCTTTTGCATGTGACTAGGCTATCCTTTTCCTCATGAAAAAGATAAGTGCCCCTATCCAAAAGACCCAGAAAGGATATTTTGCCTCTTCCACTTTTGAGGTTTGAGTGAAATGTCTGTCCATGAACCAGCAAATGCCCTCACTAGAAAAACCAAATCTGCTGATTCTCTAATGTAGGATTTCCCAGGTTCTGGAATTATGGGAGCTAACCTTCTCTATAAGCTACTCAGTCTATGGGATTTTGTTATATCAGCTGAAAAGATAAGACATCAACCTACAGAGAACACTAGGGTGCCCTAAAAATAAAAGAGAAAACAGTAGGAAGGAAGAAAGAAAGAGAAAGAAAGAAAGAAAGAAAGAAAGAAAGAAAGAAAGAAAGAAAGAAAGAAAGAGCAAGCTAGCTAACCAGCTAACTAGCTAACTAGCTAACTAGCTAGCTAGCTAGAAATAAATTAACTAATGCCTTACAGTGTGTGCTACCATTTCCATGGATCCTGGGGCACCCTGCCACACCCTCCATCGAAGGGTTCAAGTACTTTGCTCCTTACTCTGAGTTTTATTGAATAAATCATTCACTTGTTCATTCCACAAATGGTTTTTGTTTTTGTTTTTGTTTTCACAAATGTTTAAGAGTATCTTCTGTTAGGGTTTGTCTATAAGTGTCCTCCCAAAAGCCTCATGCAGTCATGGGGTAGATTCTGGAGTTTGTGACTGATTGCTGTAAGTGTGGCTGCTGCACCTGCCCTGGGGCAGGTAGTTTGCATTACAATGTAAGGAGAGGAGAGAGGCTCGTTAGCTGGGTGAGCTGCTGCCACTCTCTTTGAGATCTTGCTCTTTGCCACCACCATGAACAGTTGCCTGTTCTCTCTGCCATGAGCCACTCTGCCTTGGATCCAGCTGAGTATGAACTGAAACCTCCACTGACTGTGAGCTAAATAAATCCTTCCTTCCTTAGTTTTGGGGTTTGGATATTCTGTCCCAGCAATGAGAGAAGAGTAACTGAGACACCTTCCATGTCCAAGATCCTTTGCTTAGAATGTATCAGTGCACATGAAAAATGAAAATGTATGTATGATCTCCTGGGACTTCTATTGTTCAGAATTTTCTTTTATAATTCCTATTAAGAATGTTTCACATGCTTCACACTGAGCCTTTTTACTTCATTCTACCATTTCTTTTCTCAGTTTTTCTTTTCTCTTATGCAGTGACCATGTGGGAAATGGAAATAGGACTTTCACTAGTTTCTGTTAATTTTCTCACAACTACAAAAATGTTGTTATATTTGGAAAACATTAAGATCTAAATTAATGGCTGGGGAGATGGCTCAGTAGAATAAGTGCTTCCCTGGCAAGCACAAGGACCTGAGTTCAATCCCCAGTTCTGGGAAAAAAAAAGAAAAAAAGAAAAGAAAAAAAAAAAACACCTTTTTGGGCCCGGGCTGATAGCTCAGTAGAATAAGCACTTGCTTAGCAAGTGTAGGGTCCTGAGTTCAATCCCTGGTATTGAAAAAAAAAATCTAAATTAAACCTAAGGCAAATCATAAAAACTTAAGCCTAAGTTCTTAAAGATGGACACAGTGACACTGTCAGCATGGCAGTAAAAGAAAAAAAGAAGAAAAGAGAAGAACGAAGAGGAGGGAAGGGAAAGTGGTAAGAGCTGTGCATGACTCACCGATTCTGTAAATAAGAACTCTGCTCCCAGTGGGATCCCTGGATCTCAGAACTCCGTGATAGCCTGCCTTCAAAAGGCCAAGAATACTTCTAGGGTGCAGATCTGCACTTAATTCTGGACATTCCAATCTCCATTTATAATAGTTTTTTAATAACTGAAAAATAAAATTAACATTGTGCATAAATAGCATGCATGGCAAGCATTTTGTAAAAATCAAGGAAAGCCTAGACAATATGGCTAAAACTGTGTTATCCACTATGTCAGAGTTTTCATCAGTTATCTTTTAGCTGTCAAAACAAACACTGTGATCATTTAATGATCTCTGATCATTGATCATGATTATCAGCTTGACTGGATTATGAAAACTCAGCAAGTTAGTAAAGCACACTTCTGGGTGTGCCTGTGGGGTGATTCCAGGCCTGACTGGCATGTAGGCCCCAAACTGAGGGAGCAAGACACACTCAGATGGCGGAGGCCCCATGCCAACAGGGCTGCAGCCTGGATGGAATCAAGGAGGAAGAAGGCAGAAGTCTGTCTTTGAAGAACTCCGCTGGGCTTTAGCAAGTGTATCTTTTATTATTGGCATCTCCCGTGGACATCAGATTCTAGTTTCTTCAACCTTCAACACAGGCTCAAGCCAGAGATTCCTGAGAGAGCGTCCACATCTTTCTCTTGGATTGGTGCTGTCCTCCTCCTCTGCTTCCCAGTTCACATGCACGAGCGAGCAGAGCATCTGTGCTCACCTGCCTTCTACCTTGACATTTCTCCATGGCACCAACTGATCACAGACTGAAGCTTCTTAAACCACCAGCCACGTGGAACTTTGTCTTTAAGTTGCAGGTGTTGGGTATTTTGTCCCAGTAAAAGAAAGCTGATGAACAGCACCTTCATCAGGGATCTGGGCTGATAGGAGCTAATCAGAAAGATTGCATAATTCTCCATTGTTCCCTACGTTAGTCTCCAGAGACAGCCACAAGTCCTCCCTTCAGGGACACACATTCATTCCTTCCAGAAAAGGGAGAGCTCTATTTTGTTGCCTCCAGATAAATATGAGCTGACCTCACATCTTGCTTGGACCAATAGAATATGGCTGAAATGACACTATGCCAAGCCTTAAAAGTCTGTTAGTATTTTTAGTAAATATGAAAAAACACAGAAATTAAAGGATCTATTTCCATTAGAGATCTGCAACCTAGATAGTAAACATTGGCAAGATATGACTGAAGGAATCTACTTCTTTTATCTAAAAGAATCACCAGAAATGGCTAATCAATATATTCAAATGATACAAATATTGGTAGCATATTGTGGAGAATACTAAAGTAAAATGGTGCATTTAAAAGTTGCTATACTTTAGAGCTGGGGCTGTGGCTCTGCAGTAGAATACATGCCTAGCATGTATAAGATCCTACTTCCTTATTCTTGGTACTGCCAAAAATTCTATTTTAATACGCATGGGGCCAAGTGTTCAATCCTGAGTGCCACAGAAATATAGAGACTAACTGAAAAACAGTGTTTCCAAAATCACAATATATTTGTTTTGAGTTTATAGAGATCTATGAGAAGCAGAACTACAGTTCAGTTGAAAGGAAGGACTAATTTTGTATTTGAAAGTATTTAGATAAGCATAATTTATTAAAAATAAACTGGCAATAATCTAGAGAATAAAATAATACCAGAAGTTGAAGGTGTGATTCTGAGCCCTGGAAAGCATCCCTGGTGGGAATGGCTGGGAAAGAGAGAAGCTGTCTGGGCTGTGAGAGAAGCTGTACTCCGGGGTCCAAAAGAAACCATCTGTCGGCTCTGTCTGTCTGTTTGCCTATGTCTGTCTGTCTCTCTCCCTCACATTCAACTCTGCATTTTATAAATGCTTCTTAACTTTTAGAAAAAGAGGACATGGCTAAATGTTAAATGCAACTGAGAGGTAAGAAGGAAATAAAGAAAATGTGCCCACAGAGAAAGAACTGGTGACCTAAAAAACATTTCCAAAGGTAGTAAAAACAATAGGCACATTGTAGATTCTGAGATACTCACTCTGCTCTATAAATTGAATTTTCCTTCTTTGTCCTGTTCTAGGGGGCATCAGAATAAAGGTCAATAGCATTTTACAATGCTCAGTATTTTTTGATTGTCTCCTTGATATAAGAGGAGGGTTTTCAATTCTGATTCAAGCACATTAGCAACATTATAAAAATAATAGTCTTATTTTCCTGTGGAATGATAAAAGCTGTGGACTCATGAAGGGGATCTTTGCTGTAACAGAAGAAAGGTGCTCAGCTTCCGCAGATTGCCGGGCTCCCAAAAAATACACACATATGAATGAGAATGAGTTAATGCCTAAGTAAATCCACTGTAGGTCTACACAGTTCCTTGTGTAAAAAGATGCACAAAGTACTTTCACACTTCTGGTACTCAAGTTTTGGAAAGTAAAATATCTAAACCCAGATCTTTGATTCATTACTTTTCCAGTGATAAATTCACAAGTCTAGCTGATGTAAATACATTGCCTATGATGATGAAATTAAGAGCACTCTATGTCTGCAATAGCAGGAAAAAAAGGCTTTAAATGAATATTCAATATTGGAAAGTGCCTGTTTTGTACAAAAGTTAGAAGCAAATCCTTAAAATGCTGTGCTTTGAGTGCTTTATCGCAGTTTCTTCCTATACCTTTCATGTATTTTTCACATGAAATGATCAGATTTGGCCCACTTCCATAGAGTACAATGGCATCTTTCTAATTCTTGTTTTGAAATTCTGTATCATTTTTATTGGCTTTTTTTCCTCATAAAATAAAAAATATGATAAGTAACTATTATAACCCCATTATGGTAGCTATACAAAAAAATCTCTGAAAAATTATACACTTGTTCAGGCAATAACTATCAGGAGCAGAGTGAAGACTGGAGCAGACACGTGACAAAGGAAACTGTACAAAATGAACTACATTTAGATCGACATTTGCAGGGAGAGTCCTAGAATGCTGAAGGCTTCAAACTCTCTTGAAAAATGCACCAATATAAAGGATGGAAAAGTTCGCATGTATTTAGTTTTTTGCTGCTAATAACAAAATATCCCAGATTGTGTAAATTACAAAGAAAAGAGATTTATTTTGGCTCGGAGTTTGGGCCAAGGTGTAGTGGCTGCACCGGATGATTCCCTTGCTAACACAGTGTCTGATGGCACAGGGTGTCACCTGAGAGACAGGAAGTGTGTTTATTGCATCTTTCCCTCTCTTTTAATAAAAATTTTAATGAATGTTTGTGATATATAATGAATATATTCATGGGGGTATTGTTATACATAACATAGAGCACCTGGGCCCTTCTTACTTTCTTTTCCACTCCCCTTCTCCTGTCTCACCCAAGTGCAATTCCCTGTTTCTTGCCATCTTTCTTTTTATTTCCTGTTTATTGTTACTCTGTCATGAAGGCCCCAGTCTGATGACCTTATCTTTACCTAATATTAATACCCTTGCAAAGACTCCAGAAAGAAAAAATACCCTAATTACCTAATATTAATACCCTTGCAAAGACTCCAAAAGAAAAAAAAAAGATAAAGTTACTCACCTAATACCTCACAGTAGGAATTAAACTGCACATACAAGTTTTAAAGGGGTCAAAATATATTCAAATCATAGTTAGAGAAAAAATGTAAGGAAGCAGGCTATTGGTCTACAAAAGGCAGGAATTCATAGGGACACATAGACGAGGGGGAGGACTTCATGACTGCTTTCAGGTTCACTGTAAACTGAAGAGGCCACTGCACCGTACCGGACAGCACAGGCTCTCCTGAGTTGCACCTTACTTCAAATCCCTGCTCCACCATTTCATAGCAATGTCATTTTTGACAAATTACTCTGTAGATCTCAATTCCTTCTAAAATGAAAAAACAATGAGCTAGCCCACGCAAACACCATTTACCAAAGAGTCTGACACAAGCATATTAGATATTAGTTTTAAAAGTCTTTACAGATTCATTATAACTTCAAATAAAGACACTAAAATAATGAGAAAACTGACATGCTGTCAGACTATATGAGTTGTAAGTTATAAGTAAGAAAATGTGGAATTAACTACAACCACAGAGAAAAAAATAGTTTCACACTCTAGTCTTTTCTTTCTAGCTGGCAACAAAATAAGACAAAGAGGTCACAGGCAGAAACTTGATTTCTATCCAATGGCCTTAGTCTGGCTAGCCAATTCCTCAAGGGCATTGTACAAAAGAACCATTTGGTAACAAATATAAATATATAAATGATATATATTATATGATTGATTTGATATATATGTTATGTATCACAAATTATATCACAAAATCCAGAAGTAATTTTTATTTGTATATTACTTTTTCAAAGGCAGCTAAAATGAAAGCAAATCATACAATTTTTAATATCAGTCACCTCTAGCGATTGAAAACTACAATGATTGTTTAATTTTTTTAATTAAAACAAAAGACACATTGATAGTTTGCCCCCTCAAAATGCTCCTCCTTGCCTTTAGCACACCTTTCCCCTCACTCTTGCCACTTGCTACTGCAGTTCTGAAAATCTCCAGTGTGTGTGGCTTAATTGATCTGTCATGGCCACGTGGATGTCTTGGACTTACTTTTCGTGATTATTTTGACTTGGGCAAGAACCAGAAGTTGCGTAGTGCCAGATCCAGTACACAAAATGAATTAGGACAGGCCATAACATCTTACAAAGATGCCTTTCTGTTGGATGGCACTCAGCAGCAGGAGTCGCTAAACGTTTATCATGCCTCATAATGACACTCATGAAAGAGGATCTCCAGAACTGCTTCAGAGGGTGGCGAGATCAATGAGATAAGTGTGTTCAAAGTGAAAGGAGTGTTCTGAGCAGGCCAACTAGTGATGTGTCTCGTACAGGAATGAAATTTAAAATCTTAAAATCCGTTATATATTTTGATGACACCTTGTACATATGCATGGTTTAAACTGCGCTCTTCATAAGACATGAGGCTACATATTCAGTAACTGCTGAATATATATATATATTAGTTTATCACCCATGATGGTGGGACACTTGCATAACAATAGATCATATGGAAAATAGATAAAGCTGTTTTCTTATTTTAGTAATAACATGAAATAAACCCCAATAAAAGAAGAGAAGTTGTGTATGCATCACTCTAGGAGGCTAAGACAGGATGATCACAAGGCCAAGCCCAGTTTGGGCAATTTAGCAACATCCTGTCTAAAAATTTAAAATAATATTAACTATTATTATTATATTATTATTAGGCTGTGCGTTCAGCCTTTTACAATTATAATTATTGTAATTGTAAGGCTGTAGGTGCAGTCTCCAATATTGAAAACAAAATTGAATAGACCAATGACATCAACGTACAAAAGAGAAACCATACATTTCTAGAGAAAATTTTGGATAGAACACCTTAAAAAAAAAAGCAGGGACTGATATAGTACAAAGTTGAAGTATGGAGACATATGAAGGTGTGGTCAGTGACAGAAGAACCCACAACCACCATTGATTGCATGTTGTGCAGTACTAGGCTAAGTACAGGGACAGGCACACCGCAGTCACTGAATGCAGGAATGAACAGACAGTGTGCAGGACAACACCACTACCATTAGCTGTTAACAATTCATGTACTGAAAAGGGACTGGGGATTGGCAAGATAGCTCAGCGGACTAACCACCTGCTTAAGCAAGCGCAGGGATTGGAGGGCTAGCCGAGAAGGCCACCAAGACCAGGCATGGTGGCGCACACCTATAATCCTACTGCTGAGGAGGCTGAAAACAGAAGGATCACTACAAGTCTGAGCTGCATAGTGAAACCCTGTACCAAATACATTTCTTTTTTTTTTTTTAAAGGGACTGGTTAGCAATATTTAATATAATATATCTATCTCATGTAATAATAGGAGTCCAATAAAGAATAAGATTTTTTTGCACACAATAATGTGCACACACTGATAGAAAATGATCTAAATAATAAGAAACCTGGGACTGCTGTGCTGGTCCCACCCCCGGGGTACACTGAAACAGTGACAGACTGGGCGTGGTGGCATACACCTGTAAGCCCTGCTCTTTTTTTTTTTCCATGACCTTAATTCTTTTTTTTTTCAAAATTTTATTGATAAACATAGCAATGAGACAGTTTCAAATCAAATTGGAAGTACAGATTCAACAAATAATACACTGCATATATTCTTCTTAGTGGTTAATTGCTGTACAAGATGCGGACTTGAGATCCTATTTACAAACACCATTAGAACAAATCATTCTATTCATTAAGAGAATGCAACTATATATCTATCCTAACCACTTTGAATACACAGGTACAAAATGGACATTCATCGGTATACCCCATTTTTTCTAAGTTCCATTATTGAATATTACAGGTGTGTAAACTTAGCAAAATATTCTAAAAGAGTCCAGTAGCCCATAATAGCATTGGGTCTTCTGTTTAACTGGCAATGTCAGAAATTATTGACCTGAGTCCCCCACAGCTCAACATAACAAAGCCCTGCTCTTGGAGGCTGTAAACAAGCGGATCACTACAAGTCCAGTCTAGTAGTCAGACCCTGAACACCTGGTAGATCCTTCCCTGAAAAATACAAATAAGTAAATAAGTAAGTAAATAAAAAGACAACATGTAAAATGCCACAGACCTCCTTGCATGAGTGTACATTATGTCTGGAAAGAGAAACAACAGAAGCATACTCTTTGGATACAGAAGTACTACCATTAGCTGTCTGCCTTTCTATGTTACTGTTTTATATATTTTTTGAAGTTCTATTGATGTGTTTATTATATTTTCTAATATCTTTTAGAAGGCTTTTGCAAGTACATTCATTAAAGTGATTGTCCCCTTTTTCTTTGCTAGATGAGTCTTTGGTTTAGGAATCGTAGTACCTTAGTACAAGCTAAGGTTTGGGGCAGGGAATTTAAAATAATCTGACCCCCAGTGCCACCGACTTTTTCTTTTGTTGTTGTTTTTACTATTTTGTATTATCTGAAGTATTTTTACCATGCTCATCACTTTTTCAATAAAAATGAGTTTAAACAAACTTACACTGAGGTTGGAAATCTGGGCTATAATGCCATCCTGTTGCTCAGCAGTGACATGGAGTGAGGCGCTTTGACAAAGTGCCAGCTCTGGTCTACCTGCTGGTCGCATGCTGTGTTCCAGGCACTGTTCTGGGCACATCTTGTTCTGATGATTAAACTGGTCAATGTTCAGCCCTCACAAGTGACCGATGAAGTAAGCATCCTCAGCACTATCGACCAGACAGGCACACTGAATCCCTAGGGCCAAATTCAACGCTGCGTCTCTAACTGCAGTCTTTCCACCACCCCTGCTCTCACCCAGCTGTGATACCCCTGGAAACACTAAGGAACCACCTCCTCTCTTCTCTGTTTTCAATTATCTGTGACTGCTTTACTGTCTTTATATTTTATTTTATTTTATATTTTAATATTACTATTAACAATACTATTTTGCTACAGTATGGCTTCAGATTTGTAGTGTTACTGGTAATTTCATTTTCCCTGTCAGTTTTCTGCTCAGATGCAACAAGGATGAGCTGTCTGCCTTTCTATGTTACTGTTTTATATATTTTTGAGGTTCTATTGATGTGTTTATTATATTTTCTAATATCTTTTAGAAGGCTTTTGCAAGTACATTCATTAAAGTGATTGTCCCCTTTTTCTTTGCTAGATGAGTCTTTGGTTTAGGAATCGTAGTAATGCTGTCTTTCATAAATGAGTTTGGAATCATTTCTTCTCTCTCATTTTCATCAAAGAGATTGAGAAATATTGGTGTTATAACATCCTAAAAGATTTTGTGGAATTCAGCAGTAAATACATGAGTTCCTGGACTCTTTTTAGTTCATGGGGTTCTTTCTAACTGTCTCAATAACTGTGCTTGTTATTCGGTTGTTCAGTACTTTTGCATCTTCTTGGGTTAGCTTTGGAATTTGCATTAATCTGGAAATCCATTCATTTCTTCAAGATTTCCTAATTGGTTGAATAATGTTTTTCATTGTATTTACTATCTTCTTCTTTTTTTTTCTTTTTTTTTTTTTTTTTTTTTCAGAACTGGGGATTGAACTCAGTCCCTTGCGCTTGCCAGGAAAGTGCTCATTCCACTGAGCCGTCTCCCCGGCCCCATATCTTTCTGATTTCAACATTATCTGTTGCGATTTTTATTTTTCTTTATTTTTTTAACTTTCGTGGGGTACATATTGTGTATTTTATTTTATTTATTTTTGTTGTTGTTGTTTGTATTTTATTTTAAATAATTTTATTGAGAAACAAGTAACAATGAGACAGTTTCACAACTGATTACTAGCACATTTTCAATAATTAATACACTGCATATTGTTGTCTTAGTGATCATTCATTGTACAAGACGCAGGCATGATAGGTGATTCTGTTTAACAATAGATTTTCTACCAGGAAAGCAAGGCAATTAATTGCCCCTTACCCCCCCCCCCCCGCAAAGTTTACAGGCTGCGGAGACTTACCTCCGCAAGCGCTACTCCCAGTGCCTGCTATCAGATGGGCCAGCACTCCGGGTTCTTCACTTTCTAGGCTTACGTCTCCACTGACCCAGAGAAACAGGAAGGAGTGGAGCGTCACTGACAACTCGCCCGTCCCGCCTGCACCCGGTGCGCTTACCCGCCAGGCCAGGTCCAGGTCGAAATCCCGGGCGCGCAGGAACCGCAGCAAGAAGGCGTCTGAGAGCGGCTGCGGCGCGAGCGGGACGCTCGCCTCCAGGGCCCGGCGCCGGAGTTCAGCCAGGCCGGGCTGCAGCAGCGGGGAGTGGTCCGGCAGCGCGTTGAGCTGAACGCCGCTCGGCGGCCCCGGCTGCACCTCTGCCATGCCAGCCGCGCTGGGTGCTGCCGCGGGACCGGCTCGCGCGCTGCCCTCCGCCCTCCTCTAGCCTTTCGCGCCCGCAGTGGGAGGGCCCGGCAGCCTCTTAAGGGAACACTCGGGGTGTCCCGTCGTGGCCCCCCATTGTGGTGCTCAAGGTCTAGAACAAGAAGTGGACGCTTTGGGGTGTTTAGAACTCATCTGCCCGAAAACCTTTCTCTCCGCCCGCCCTTTCTTCCATCCTTCCCAAATAGAATCTTGGAGCTCAGAAGGAGCCTTAGAACTACAGTTTAATATGGTCCACGTGGCACAGCGCTGTGGCAGGGCTCAGCTGGACTTCGGGCTACCCGGGAAGGCCCTTCAATGCAAAGGCCGAGAGGCTGTGGACACCACTCCACACAACTGGAGTGTAAGCAGTCACGCAGCTAGAGAGCCTTGGCCTAACATCAAAGATAGCTCAGGAGAACCTCCAGTAATTATCGCATTATTTTTTTTGACCAGTAATGCACCCCAAAAATGTGCCTCCTGGAGCAGATCTGCTGCCCCACTCCTCACTGTGCACCTCAAGCCCCCAGTTAATCCTCTGCTGCTGAGCTTTACCCCAGCAGGCACACACTCCTTCTGTAGTGGGGCACCCTGCCTCAAGCTAGCATAGTGGTGATTTCTAAAGTGCAATTTCATAAACCACCTTAACATTCTACTCCTCCCCTTCCTCCTCCTTCCTATCCAGAAAATTCTTTTCAGTTTTTGGCACCCTGCCCTATTAATGTCAGAGAAAAATAAATACACCTAGCAAGTGTCCAAAAGGTGGTGGTGGGGACTTAAAAAACAAAACCAAAAAAACTGTGAATAGGGCAAACTTACTCTGCTGCACCTCACCACCACCGAATTAAGTGTGTCTAGGCTAAGAGAAGAGTCCAAAGTCCTCTTATGATGGAATCTACGGGACAATGGGTAACTTAGATGAAGCAGGGAATTGATGCAGAAATTGAAAGGCTGTGAAACTGGTTTTTTTGGATGATATTATTGTTGGGAATTTTTATGTCTGAGAGAGGCCTTCTCGAAGGCATACAGCTGTAGACTTTTTATTTATTTGTTTCTAAAATTTTGAGACAAGCTCTCACTGACTTGGCCCCCTCCCCATAACTTGTGATTTTCCTGCCTCAACATCCCAGAGTGCTGAAATTAGGAATTTTGTGCTACTAGCCCTAGATTAAAGATTAAACTTATCTCTTCTTGATTTCTTTACATTAAAATGATACTAAAACTGATTTATTTTATCAAGTGGGACCTCATTAAGGTAATTATTTTTAAAAGTGTAATATATTTCTTAGTAAATGCTGGGCTCATCTATAATACCGAATAGGTGAGGGACATGGAAACCTGACATTTCATTCCTTGACAAGTTATTGAATGGCATCTGTGGGCACTCCAATGAAATCACACAAAACTCTGACCCTTGAGTTTTCTGTCCTGAGGGAGAAAAGACAATAAACAAGCAAATCAGTGAATATGGTATAAAAGATGGCAATGTTTGCCAAGGGGTGCCAGAGCAAAGCAGAGCATAGCACTTATGGTGAGGCTGAACAGACTTCTCACCTGAGTGAGGCCTAGAGTACCTAGGATTGAGGGACTGCAGATTTGATTTCCATTCTTTTTTTTTTTTTTTTTTAATTTGTGTATTTGGTACAGGGTCTCATGTAGATCAGACTCATGGTGATTCTCCTGTTTTTGGCCTCCTCTACCCTGGAATTACAGGCCCGGGCCACCACACCTGGCTCAGTGCCCCCTGGGGGGCAGAGCTGACACAAGGCATGCTGACTTCTATTCTGAAGTAAGAAATGGAAGACATCATTAGAGTAAATAATCAGAATCCAATGAGAAAGTGAGTCATAGAGATTCAGTGTTTTGACTTACAGTTGGAGTGAGATGGGAAACTATTGGAGCAGAAGTTTGATGAGTAAATACAACAAGTGTATGTCATGGTTGGTTGATCATAATTGTCAACTTGCATGGCTTGAGAGACAGCTAGATTAGTAAATCTCACTTCTGGGTGGGTCATGGAGGAGGGACTTGGTAAAATACACTGGGGCCCTGACCCCTTCTTCTTTGACTCTACCACTGCTCTCTGCATCAGTCTTCCATAAGGCGAACAGCTTCCCCCTCTCATGCCCTTCTGTCATATTTCTGCCTTGAACCCAGCCCACCAAGGATCAAAGCCATGATCCAAAATCAACCCTTCCTCCTTTAAGTTGTGAATGTTATATATTTGGTCCCAGCCACAGAATGTTGAATGATGCAGTGTATGAAAGAGAGATGGAGACCAAGCTTAAGGGCCATGTACTTGGCCTTAGTGGATGCACTGGGAGCATTTGCTGGGTGACAGAGAAGAGAGGGGAGAGACAAGGAGGGTAGAAAGAAAGTACCAGTCAAGAAGGAAAGATTATGCAATCTTCCTTGGAACTCTTCCTGGATAAAAGAAAAGGGAAGATGATCCCTCTTTGGGAGTTTTAAGTGTCTAAAAGTAAATGAATAAGATAAGATCCATATAGTTAGTGTTATGTTTTGCATTTAGATGTCTCCCTAGACCTTCATGTGGTCATAGGTGGGGGCTTTTCAGAAGTGGCTGGATCAAGAGTGTGTGATGCTGGAATTATTTCATGGTGCAATGCTAGAACTGAGGGCACCAGGATTAAGGATGTGACTACTACCTGCCCTAAGTATCCTAGATAACTTGTAAGAGATGGGAAGAGTTGTAGTCATCCCTTGCTTACATATGCTGTCTTCTGCCTGCAATGACTGTTTATCCTCTGTGATTCCCCTCTGCTATGTGCCACCCTGCTTGGACCAGCCAACTATTGTCTGAAACCTGTATGGATGGAAAGCCAATAAACTTTTGCTCCTTTCACTTTGGGTGTCAGGTATTTGTCTCAGCAATGAGAAAACTAACTATGGCAGCAGGTTTTCTTTTCTGTCAAATAATTTTTCAAAAAAAAAAAAAAAATCTTCTATCTAAATTATCATGATTGACCCAACTTTTCAAGAGATGTTACTTTATTTTTGTTTTGAGGTGTTTTCAAACTCAGTATGCTCAGACTATACTTTAGTGCACTCTCATGCTTAATGAAAATGCATCCAGGCCTCTGGTGTAAAAATTTGGAGGGACTTCTGGAACCAAAGGTGTATCAGAGTTTTCTAGACAAACAGAACTAGTAGAATGTATGTAGAATTACAAAAGGAAAAGTATTAGATTGGCTTACACCATCTGAGTCTGGGGAATCTGGAGAGCTGGAGGAAAACTAGTTCTTCATTGGAAGAAGCTAAGAGTCTCAGAATAAGAGGAACCCACAGTGCAGTCCCTGTCCAAGGATGGAGGCCAGGAGCTGCCTTCAGAGTTTCTGGTGGTCATGGAGGTGTGACTTTGGAGGGTATGCATTGACACACCCCAAAGTGTGCCTGACCATTTTTCTAGGTATCTCTCAATGCAACCAAGACTAATGATCAATTATATGAAGAAATAAAACAAAAGAAAATTAGCTCATATTTGTACAATTGACTTCTAATGTACTCATAAAATTATTTAGTAGTTATTCATCAGCACATAAAATGTAAGTATACCAATTTATTTTACTTTTAGATTTTCAGAAAAGACATAGGTATTTATTACAGTCAAGATAATATTTTAAAGGGGTAAAAAATATTGTTATTCTTACAGACATATAAAAATGAATGTATGTTAAAGACTGCATCTCATAAAGGGAGATATTATACCAGCTTCAAAGAAGAAGTCAAAGCTCATTCTTATATAAGGGATGTTGAAATGAATGTACAAATGGAGGCAAAGTTAACTTCCTTCATCATGAGAGAAAAAGGTCATTTGAAATTCTATCAAACAAGACAGAAGTAAATGTTCTTAGATAGGAATTATTTGCCTTTGCTATTAGTTATCTACAATTTACATAGTTGTGAAATAGCTTCAGTGAAATCACAATTAAGAAACCTGAGAATTTCATCTGCAGGCTATCCATCCAGTGCATAATTTTCCAGTTAATATACAATGCGCATTTTTTCCATTGATGTACATCTTTTAGCCTACATCACTTGGGAACCCTTATTTAAAACTTTCTGAAATAATAGGTATCATAACAAAGATTAAACTCAGCATAACAATCAGAAATATTTTTCTAATCATGTTTTATGTATCTCCCATACTCGATTGATTGTCTGTTCACAGTCCTTGAAATTAAATCAAGGGCCTCTGGGACATAATATGCCTGTTTTTGTCACTTTATTTTCTTCATTTAGTAATAGGAGACTGCCATTAGGAGTCCATCAGGAAGTAGATGGCATACTCAAGGAACAGTTTGCTAGAATTTACAGAAGGGAAATACTTATCAGACGTAGGCTGAGAAACCAAGAAGATAAAACCAGGCCCCACTACATAGGGACCACTACAGCCCCTCATTTGAAAGAAAAAAGGAAGGGACTATTTCAGAATCCAAGGAGGCTCAACACTTAAGGAAGGCAGTGTGGCCAACTGTAGATCATGGTTTTTCCAACCTTGTTTCTTTCCCTTTACTATATAATTTTTTCATATTTCTCATGAAAGAAGTGTCATCCTTATTCTCAATCCATGCATTTGGGCTTGTCCACAGAAAGAAGCAGCCATAGTGGTGTCCTAGTTCTAAAAGGCACTTTGTCTTTCCACTTCTTCTTCTGCATTTCTGCCATTATGATAATGTGCCTTGTGAGCCTATTGGCTGGTAGCGACACCTGCAGCACACTCAAGACTTCCACTGATTTAGCTGACAATATTCACAATCAGCCAGGATTTCAGTAATTCCGAAGCACATAAATGATTCCAGCCAGCATCAGGGGAGCCGATCAGCTAATCTCAGCTAATCTCAGCTAACCTCAGAGAAGTAAGCGGTAAATATTGTGATTATGCTCTGTAATGTCATTTTGGCAATAGCTAATAAATTCACTGTTCATATGACCTAAATTGATATTCATAGCCACTTTCATCCACTACCCATCCCGTGATCACTTTATTCTTTACCAGTGGAATGGACTGTTTTCCCTGATGAGTTAACCAAAGCTTCATATCTACAACCTCCAAGTCCTTGATGGCCCTGACTTTGGTGGGTTGATGGGCTTTTTATTGATTTCTATCACAGATCAAAGGGCTTCTGGGTGAATTCCTAGGACTGCAAACATAGTCTTTGTCTCTATTGTGTAACAGAAATCCAATTTCCTCCTAGTATTTCAAAACTATCACTTTGGCCAGTACCATGGCCAAGAGGCAAGAGAAGACCTAATGGTTATTGGGACAGCTTCAGTTTTTAATTTATTGGAGTAATTGTTTCCTGTGAAATCATTCTCAAGCTTTTGAGTATACTAAGTGTCTTAGTTACTTTTCTTTCATTGCTAAGACAAATCCCAACACCCCAAGTTAAGGAAATCTTTAACTCACAGTTTGTGGGAGTTTCAGTCCATAATCAGCTGGCTCCAAGGCAGGGTGGCATGGCACAGGGCAATAGTTCAAGGCAGCAGAAGACAGAAAACACAGAAAGAGCAGAAAGAGAAAGAACAAGGCTCTTTTCCTTACATTGTAAGCAGGCTGT